TGGTTTGCAGGTAAAAACTTATTCCTGACCGGAGGAAGTGGATTTATTGGGAAAGCTTGCATAGAAAAATTTCTGCGCTCGTGTCCCGATTTGGGCAAGATTTACATTCTGCTGCGGCCCAAGAAAGGAAAGTCTCTAGAAGAGCGACTCGAGCAAATTACATCCTCACCGGTAAGTAGGACACCTCATCGGTAGAGTGATTAGTCAAATAGTAAAGATTTTTCAAATATACCGACCCTGAAAATTTTAGGGTGTTCAAAACTGCGTTAAGAAAATCTAAAACATTTTCAAAATGTCCCTTGTAGAATTACAAAGGCATATTGCGAAAGCAGCGCTTAAACAAATATTTGCGGAGTATCAGAAAATCCAACTCAAAGACCCAATTTTTAACTACTGCAGTTTAACCGAATTGCGTGATACTTGATTTCTGAACACCATGAGACACCCAGTTTTTCTAACTTTGGAGCTCTCCCAACGGTTTCTCCACCAGTATCGGACGATTGAGATAAAGTAATTGATCGTGAAAATTGAGTTGTACCTAAGAATACAACTGGCGTTCCAAGTCGTGGGAACTATTGAACACAGCGCTGCGTAAAGTACATCAATGTGTATAAACAGAAATTTGAACATCCCCTGTTGCTGCACAGAGCAAACCGCCGCTGAAGATGTAGCCACCCGTGCATGCAAAACGTTGGGAAAGAAAAGAAATTATTTTCCGCAGAGGCCAAAAATACTGAAAAACTCACAAGTTTTAGGCATTGGCTGCGGAAGCCCAACTCTTCTGATAAATCTTGTACAGTCCTAAAGCACATAATGTTTCAGCTGTTCGAGAAACTGAAGCAAATGTATCCTGATAGTCTAAAGAAAATTATTCCCATCAAAGGAGATGTGCTAACACTCGGACTAGGTAAAACGACGTGTTAAGATTTGAACTGGTAACCAATTATGATAGTTTTCCTCTAGGGATATCCGATGCAGACCGAAAGCTGCTTATCCAGGATGTGCACTTTATTTGCCATACAGCAGCATCTGTTAGGTTTGACGACTTTCTAAAAGAAGCCATTTTCAGCAACATAAGAGCCGCCAGGGAAGTGGCTCTATTGGCGCTGGAAATGAAAAATATCCAGGTTTTCCTGCACATATCGACAACATATTGCAACATAGATGGTAAAACGGTAAATAGTTTTTCTTCCCAGAAAGCCAGTATGTGATGAGTGTCTGATTTTAAATGAAATTAATGGAATCTTCGTGAAGTGCAGTGAGTCTTGACGTGAAGAACATCTATTGCACATTCTTATTCGTTTGCTCATAAGACAAAGTCGCGAAGAGGGCTGGCTGCCTTGTAGAATGTTCTAAACTCATTTCGATTTGTAGATAATATAAATCCACTGATTTCAGGTAGTGGATGAAATCCTCTACCCTCAGCATGGCGACTGGAAGGAGGCAATTCGCGCTGCTGAGTCAATTGACAATCATACGCTGAATGTGCTCACACAAAAATTCATAGAACCTTTTCCCAACACGTACACCTACACAAAACAACTGGCAGAACATTGTATTAACGACATGCTAGTGGGAAAAGTGCCTGCCATCATCTGCAGACCTTCAATTGGTAACAGTCAAGCTAGCAAAGCTAACAAATTCACACAATAGCAACCGAAATTTTTAGTGATCAGCACCTTGGTGGAACCTTTCCAGGGCTGGAATGACAACTTCAATGGACCTGTAGGACTGCTGTTGGCTGGAGGGGCTGGAATCCTCAGAACAGTCTATGCAGATCCCGGGTTCAATCCAGATTACTTGGCAGTAGATAATGTGATCAAGATCATTATTATGGCTTTGTGGCACAAGGCAGTTTTAGGGTAAGGAAGTTTCGAGAGTTTGGAACTAATTACTAGTTTAAGGTAAATAACTGGCCATGAATTTGTTTCGAAAACATTAAATTAATAACGAATCTAGACTTTTAAAAAGAATCTAGACTTTTAAAAAGAATCTAGACTTTTACATAATAAAATTTATGATCTTTAAATTGATTACCGAAACTGCTTGTTATGATCTGCGTTGTGCTTTTGACGATTTTGCTGCCATAACCGTTCTTTAGTGTCTTCAGCGTTAATATTTACAGGGTTTCTACTCAATACTTTCCATAAATTTCTAGACGTACGGTGTCAAATGCGTTAGTGAGATCCACAAACACATAGATGCATTTTATTAGTATCACATGTGTTATGAGGGGACACTAGTCCTGTGTTATTAATCAAAGATTGTCGATCTGCCGGCTCTAAACTCTGCTTGTTCTTCTATGTCCAAATGATATTATTCTTCTTGGGTTCAGAACTTTATAATTTTGCGGAATATCTATTGGTTTGCCTTCATTCTAATGTCCATTCTCTATAGGTTCATGTCATGCAATCCGTATTTCGTTCGTTTATTAATGCATCGCCATTCATAGAGAATGGTTTAGTATATACATACATACAGGACTACGCGTCTTGATCAGGCACATTATTCGAAGTTAAAATTGTTCTCATACTTCATTAATAACATACAGGTTATCAAAGTTTGGGATTTGTAGTAGCTAACTTTGGAATGTGTTCACCCTATATATGAGTTTATGTTAACACACTTTCATCCAAACAAATCGCTTTTGTCAGTATATAGTTACCTTCGGAAGTGTGCATGTTCTACGATTAAATAAAACAGCTGTTTTCAGACAAAAATCCAGCCTATCCATATACCAAGCTAGCACATATAAGGAAATGTTGATGAAGCCCAACTATCTGGCGGAAACGGGCAGGAAATTGTACTGGGACGTCCCCTTTAAGAAAAACATTTGGTACCCGGACGGTTCAGTGACCAAGTATTTCCATATTTTCTATATCAAAGTGCTTCTCTACCATGTACTGCCCGCTCTTTTGGTCGACTTTCTGATGCTATTGGCCTGCCGAACTCCATTGTGAGTATCGTTCAGCTCACTTTGATGCAATAACAATTTCAGGTTTTATCTTCAGCTTGCTCAAATTGCAAAGGAAGATCTACATTGCCAACATAGCGGTGAGTCACTTCTTGTTAAAGGAATGGCTGTTCGTGAACGACAACAGCAAACGACTTTATACGTACCTGCCAGATGAAGACAAAGATGCATTCAACATCAATCAATTGCCATTAACTGAAGACGACCTATACAAGTATTACGCCAATTGTTGTGATTATGCTAGAAGGTATTTGCTCAAAGAATACGATGACATTATGGAAGAAACGCGAACTAGGAACAAGAGGTAAAGTGGCTGTATGCATTCAATTTGTGTCTTCAAGAGTATTTTTTAGAATGTATTTCCTGCATTGCTTGACCAAGTTTCTGTTCTATAGCTGGATGGCCTGGATTGTATTTTACAAAATAAACGTAGTGAAGATCCTACTGATTTCGCTTCGCGACTATTGGAACAGTTTATAAGATTTACTGCCCTATTTTCCCACTATTTTTTAAGTTTGCTAATAAATCATGACTGCTGAGATACTTTTCTTTACTACATTGTCTTTTTTGAAAATGCTGAATTTCTTGCAACACCATCTATGAGTATTACGAAAGAAATTGCAAAGTCAATAAGAAAAGGTTCGGAAAATTTGCGTCCATACTTATAAATTGATTTATTGGATCTGCATAATATAATAGAAACTCTATCTCAATTCTTACTGAAACCTTCCCGCTCTATTGTCTAAAATAATGTTTTTCAATAATTCAGCTTCTTCAGATATTCTCAACCTCTAAACAGTTACGAAGCAAAATTTTGAGTCGTCAAAGTATAAGAGCTCATATCTCGGCGACAGTGAAAAATATCTCAATAATCATTAGAAGCTTTTCGATAGAGCCGCTCGAAAGTTGTAGTTCTCTAGTGGAGCTTCTGCAGAAAATCCTTCTTTTAAAAAGTTAGAACTGAAATTTTCAGCTTCAGAAGCAGTCCAAGTTTAAAGCGTATGTCTCAGAAATGATGAGGAAATCTCAGGAGCTGGAAGCAAAATTTGAAAATCTCTAGCACCTTTAGATATTAAGACATAATGTCTTAAAAATATCGCTAAATAAAGGTTGTGAGTTACACAAAACAAATAAGAATTTACTGAAATTTTCTGAGCGGAATGATCCCAAAACGGGCATTTTACGAAACAGACAATAATTGAAAATGAGGAAAGTTAATATGAGATAGTAAATGTAAGAATTTACAATATGATGCCAGCATGTATTGAGACACAAAAAATTGATTTTTACTAAAATGGAATGCGAACAATTATAAAGGATGCACTCCAGAAGCGCAAAAGAAAATCAATTTGCAAAGGGAAACAAAATAACAGATATTTTAGCCCAAAAAAATATTAAAAAATGCTATTAAAAAAGCACAGAGGAGAATATTAACAAATTAAGAAGTTAATAGCAACCTATCGACCATCTGGTCGACTAACTACCAATCGTACTCTTATATTATACTGGGTGAAACTGTTGAGTTTTTCGGGCGTTTAGGTCGTTGCCGAAAATCATTCCTTCCTGTCCTTTCGCAAAAAAAGCTTTCAAAAAGCCCGAACTCATCAGCTACAAGAAATAGCCGTACTTTTAAGTCAGGTGCAGTGTAACAATCATGTTTACTCGACCATCTGATTGAAACTTGACTTGAAGTTAAATTGTGCTATATATTGAAAAACGACAAACTACCTACTCCGGTAAGTTCTGAACCATCACACTTTTCTTGCTTTAAACGCATTGTGTACGCGTTCAAACAATAATTACCGTTATTGGGTAACCAGTACTAGTAACCAAATAAATCTCTAGTTATATACATAAATAAGTAAAGTCAGACACTTTTTGAATGCTCCATGTGCTATAAACATTCTTTTATGCGTGTTGTTAGTCTGAATGAGTATATGCAGTTTACGTTGCAGACATTAGAATCAATAGGACTCGATTAGCCAAAACTCGCCTATTTGCCATAATTTTACAGACAATGAAGAAAGCAAAAATTTACCGATTTAATGACAATGAGACAAACATAATCAAATACAAAAAACATTTGAATTAAAAAAGTGTTAGTATAAAAGCACGTTTTTACCCATATTCGTGTCGTTGAAAACCTACTGAGCCAGATATCATGTTTTTTTAACTCACTAGCTACAGTTCTCATATAAATTACCTTAAAAACTCACTAAGAGCGTTTATTGTGCGTATGTTTATTAAGGTAGTGCGGTAATATTTGACTTCAGGATGGCTTCCACACAAACTATCCAAGAATGCTTTAGAGGTACTTCATTCAATTTTTGTACACGCATAGACAATTGAATGCAACTGGTTTGCAGGTAAAAACTTATTCCTGACCGGAGGAAGTGGATTTATTGGGAAAGCTTGCATAGAAAAATTTCTGCGCTCGTGTCCCGATTTGGGCAAGATTTACATTCTGCTCCGGCCCAAGAAAGGAAAGTCTCTAGAAGAGCGACTCGAGCAAATTACATCCTCATCTGTAAGTAGAACACTTAAGCGGTAGAGTGATTCAATATTCGTTCAGTCAAACGGTAAAGATTTTTGAAATATACCGCACCTGAAAATTTTGGGTGTTCAAAATTTCGTTAAGTAAAGCTGAAACTAAGAGCGGATTTAGGGGATGGTCATGGGGATGACCTGGAACGCCAGTGTTGCGTGAAACACATTAATATGAGTGAACAGAAATCTGAACATCTCCCGTTGCTGCTCCGAGCAAACCACCTATGAAGAAGAAGCCACTCGTGCTTGCAAAATGTCCGGAAGAAATTATTTTCCGACAACGGCCAAAAATCACGAAAAACTCACTAGTTTCAGGGCATGGCCGCCGCACCCGAACTCTTTTGATACGTTTTGTACGTTCTAAAGCATGTAATGTTTCAGCTGTTCGGGAAACTGCAGCAAATGTATCCTGAGAATCTAAAGAAAATTATTCCCATCAAGGGAGACGTGTTGAAACTCAGACTAGGTAGAACGGTGTTTTAAGACTTAAACTTGCAACCAACTATGATAGTTTTCCTCTATAGGGATATCCGATGAAGACCGAAAGCTGCTCATTCAGGATGTTCACTTTATTTGCCATACAGCAGCATCTGTTAAGTTCGACGACTTTCTAAAAGATGCCATTTTCACTAATATCAGAGCTGCCAGGGAAGTGGCTCTATTGGCGCTGGAAATGAAAAATATCCAGGTTTTCCTGCACATATCGACCACATATTGCAACATAGATGGCAAAACGGTAAATAGTTTTTCTTCCCAAAAAGCCAGTATGCGATGAGTGTCCGATTTTAAATAAAATTAATGGAATCTTCCTTGGAGTCTTGACGTGAAAGACATCCATGGCACACTATTACCAGTTTGCTCATAACATAAAGTCGCGAAGAGAGCAGACCGCCCTGCAGAATGTTGTAGACTCATCTCCATGTAATTTTGTTTTAAATCAACCGATTTCAGGTAATAGATGAGGTTCTTTACCCTCAGCATGGGGACTGGCGGGAAGCAATTCGCTCTGCTGAGTCAATTGACAGTCATACCCTGAATGTGCTCGCGCAAAAATTCATAGAACCTTTTCCCAACACGTACACCTACACGAAACAACTAGGAGAACATTGTATTAACGACATGCTGGTAGGAAAAGTGCCTGCCGTCATCTGCAGACCTTCAGTTGGTAACAGTCCAGCTAACATCAAGATAACGAATTCAGACAATAGCGGCCGAATTTTTCCAGTGATCAGCACCTTGGTGGAACCTTTCCAGGGCTGGAATGACAACTTTAATGGACCTGTAGGACTGATGGTGGCGGGAGGTGCTGGAATCCTCAGAACAGTCTATGGAGATACAGACATAAATACAGATTACGTGTCAGTCGATAATGTGGCGAAGATAATCATTATGGCCTTGTGGCACAAGGCAGTTTTAGGGTAACGAAGTTAAGCTAGTCTGAACTAACTACTAGTTTAACGTAATTAACTATCCAGGATTCTGCTTCAAATCAATCAAAGCACAAATCAAATTAATAACGAAATGTACATGGAATCTTGTAGATTACACGATGAGATTGCACAACATTTCCTTTTGCATTAGACGATTTTGCTCCCTAATATGATTCTTTAGTTCCTTCATCGTTCATATTTAGAGGGCTTTTACTCAATAATTTTCATCAATTTTCAGGCGTGCGGCGTCAAACGCCTTAGTGAGATCCAGAATCAAGTAGCATTTTCTTAGTGGCATATGTTTTATGAGTAGGCAT